CCTTGACGTGTTCCTGATCTTAAGGGAAAGGCTCTCAGCTTTTCCCCATTGAGGATGATATTTGCTGTGGGTTTTTCATAGATGGATTTTATGAACTTGAGGAATGTTTGAGGGAAGCACCACTTATAAGTGAGAAGCGACTACAAAACCAAAGATTGGGTGTAAGGAATGGAAGGAAGTCCTCCTCTGCAAAGGTGAGGGTGATTGTTGAGTACAAGCATGGTTAAATGGCAATTAGGAAATAAATATATTTGTAAAAGTAATGCAAGTCTACAGAACTGGGCAACCACGGGACTAGATTTAGAAGTCTTAATGTGATAGAGCATGAAGAAGCTAATGATGAATTTTTAAGTGATGTTTACCATCTGGTGAGTTGTGGATCCAACATTTGCTCACCTAATCAGAACAGTCACCTCTAATATAAAGATCAAGGTGTTAGTAAATCTTTATGATGTTTTACAAATATAACTTCCTAGCACATATTCATTCACTACTGACCACTTACTGTGTATAAAATGCCATGTTATGAATGTGTGAAAAAAGCATGGATCTTGATAGAAACTTAAAATCTCTAAGAGTATCCAGACAAGCATGTGATATCTATAATAAAAGTGGACTGTGTTAAGGCTCATAAAAGTAATAAATGCTCTGGGAGTTGCGTCTGTTTCCCGGACCTGGGACGGTGTGGGCTTGGCGGGCTCTTAGGTTCCCACTGGTCTCCTGCAAGATGACGGCGTCCTACGTGCCATGCACAGCCCATCCTTGCCGCCTCGAGAAGCGCTTTTCTTTTTTGTGTTGTTTTGGGATCCCTTTGATGGTCTCAGTGCTCCTGATACCCATGCCCTCTGATGCCTGTGATGCTCCTCCGAGATACAGCTCTATGAAGCCAAATGTTACTAAACCCAATTATAATCCTGGGGACAGAGTATACTTCAAGTGTCGACCAGGATACAAGTTTATGCAACCTTTTCGTCCCGTAGTTTCCGTTTGTCAGTCTGATAATACATGGACACCTCTCAACGAGACTTGTACAGAAAAATTATGTGAACATCCAAGAGAACCTGTAAATGGCCAGGTAGTCGGTGTAAATGGATCTTTTATCTTTGGTTCACAAGTTCACTATTCTTGTAACGAGGGTTTTCGGTTAATTGGAAAAAGAATTGTATATTGTGAACTTTCTAATCATGACGAAAATTCAGTGCGTTGGAGTGATGATACCCCACTATGTGCAAAGATAATGTGTCCGTCACCTGGAAAAATACCAAATGGAAAACATACCGGTAGTGAGAAGGATGAATTTGAATATAATGAAGGGGTAACTTACAGTTGTGATCCTTCAAGTGGACCAGACGAATATTCACTTATTGGAGAGAGGAGGCTTATTTGTTCTGGTGATGGTGTATGGAGTAGTGACCCTCCTCAGTGTAAAGTCGTCAGATGTCCATTTCCAGACCCTGAAAATGGAAGACTGATATCAGGATTTAGAAAGAAATATTACTACAGAACAACAGTCAAATTCGAATGCTTACCGGGGTTTTACCACGAGGGCAGCAGCACAGCTGTTTGTGGTAGTAACAGTACTTGGGAGCCCGCACAGCCAATGTGTCTTAAAGGACCTCCCCCAAGTCCTGGTGATGAATCAACACCTGAAGACACTGAGACTTTAGGCAAAGGAATCATCGCTGTGATTGCTCTTTCTGTTCTTGCTGGCCTTGTACTACTTGGCTGCATCCTGTGCAGATTTTATCGACACAAGAAGAAAGGGGGAGGAGACATGAGGGCCGGATACAGTGCTTGCCAGGATAAGTCAGCTACGTCAGCAGAGCACTAACTGGTTTTTCCACACCGGTTTATCCTTTGAGATCTACAATAAATTCACACAGCTTCTATGGAAAACAGTATAAATGTTCCTCAAAAAATTAAGAATAGAGAAT